TGAGGCCATGTTGAGCTCCCAAAGAAGCTGGGGTCCCATGGCACCAAGCGATATGACTATTGGGACCCTCAAACATCTCTCAGCTTCTGCCTTTGATCGTAGCGTCTAAACGGACAGATGCTGAGGGGACAGCATGGCAAAGAAAACTGTTGCAAAAGATGTGGTCGAAAATATGCAGAGAAAAATGAACTGCCGTGAGGATAAACAATCTAATGCCACAGGGTTTGGATGGCCATGGTTGCGACTTGACTCATGTATGTAAAATTAATTGTAAGTAAGATAAACCTGCTATCCAGGCGCCTTATTTCTTGGTCTATTAATAACATGCTCTGTGCAAGCCTCAGAGAGTGCCTTGGGACCAAGAGGTATACAATATATTTTCTACCCTAGCTTTTTATGCCGTTTCTGTTGGTTTTTCTACTCATTTTTCTCTTGGAGTCCACAACATATATACAGCCCATTACTGGCCTCCACACTACATAGCTAATAAAATGCATCTTTTACTTTAGCACATTCAACTTGATTCTCCCAGCCATTAAGGTTTTGGTTACTGAATTAAAAAACATATGCATGGTTAAAGATACCTATGCCGGCCATTGGCGTACATGCAGACAATTAGGCCATATTGGCATGCATGCCTTCAGAATTCAGATTACACAAGCTAATGTAAATGAGACAGTACTAAGCCATATGCTTGGTTAAGAGTACCAAGTTACCAATTTCTTCTTCTATTTTCCTCCATCCGCATGTGTTCCCTTCATAATGAAAAACAAAGTACACAAGCCGGAGGTATAATAGCCGGATTAGTAGAACAACGACTTTATGCACAGCAACAAAACTCACGACACAATTCCTGATAAGATCGATTGCAAATCAAGGACTTCAAACACGGACTAGGATTCACAAGACTTGTGCTACAAGAAACCCTACTAAAAAAGAAGTCCTACCGCAGGAATCCAATCAAAAGAAAGGTACAATCATGAAGGGAATAGAAAGTAATCCTTCTTCAACTCTAGGTTCATGTGGAGACTAACGGTTCGAGGATCCTATTGATTTGAGACTGTTAGAAGAGTGTCAGAATCCCTTGGGCGACCGATTTCCTTGTTTGAATGCATGCTATCTGAAACATGATTTGTGTGAAGAGGGAATGTGTTCTATTCTGACTTCTTTTTATCTATTATAGGTTTTTCATTGTAATCGATGACATGCGGAGAGACTTTTGGGTCAATATAAAAGATGCTTTCCCTGTGGTTCCCGGGGTCGACAGTAGAGTTATTGTCACAACAGCCACTCAGACCATAGCAATCAAAAGCAGCTGTCGTGATGGTCATGTGTACATAATGAGAACTCTTGCTGAGCAACACTCGAAACAGTTGTTCTGTGAGAAAGCTTCCTTGGTGTATCCACCAACAGTCCATGATACCGAGCTAAGTTCAGAAGTAATAAGGAAATGTGATGGTCTGCCCCTTGCTCTTATTACCACAACACGGTTGTTGCACGGCGATCATAGACAGCGACAATGGGCAGATCTGGGAAATAACCTTGGCAGCCATCTGGAGACACATCATATGTCAGCAAATATGAAGCGTGTGCTCGTCCGTAGCTACACCAGCCTAAGCAAGCAAGATATCAAGATCTGCTTGCTTTATCTCGGTATTTACCCAAGTGGTCGCCCAATCAGGAGAGGAAGCCTCATAAGGCGCTGGTCAGCCGAAGGTTTCATCACAGCAGAGCCTAAACGCAGTGCCCTTGAGGTTGCTGTTGCCAGTTTCAATGAGCTGGTCGACCAGAGCATCATCCAGCCTATTGATGCCAGCAGCAGCAGCAGCGCAGAGGTGAAGACATGCAAAACTCACGGTATAATGCATGAGTTCATTCTGCACAGATCCATGTCCGAGAACTTTGTTACCTTGTTATATGATAAGGATCCCCCACCTGGGAGTAAAATTCGTTGGATTTCTCTGCAGCATAAAACTGATGCAAGATCCAAAATGGATCCAAAGGATCTAAGTCTTGTCCGTTCTCTGACAATCTTTGGTGAAGCGCACAATTCAATGTTGGACTTTTCCAAGTACAAACTGATTAGAGTTTTGGATTTAGAAGAGTGCGATGAACACTTGGGAGACAAACATCTCAAGGAAATATGCAGCAACATGTCACTGCTAAGGTACCTAAGCCTCAGGGGTGCTTCTGGAGTTACAGTTCTTCCAAAACAGATCAAGAAGCTTCAACTTTTGGAAACACTAGATTTAAGAGGAACCAGTATAGAGATTCTGGCCATAGAAGTCATGGAATTGCCATATTTAATTCATCTGTTTGGAAAGTTCAAACTCCAACAAGATGTAGGAAGCCGGAGAATGAGTAAGCTACAGACTTGGCTGTCAGAGAGAAGTAAATTGGAAACTCTAGCCGGATTTGTTGTGGACAACAATAGCCAAGGATTCACACAGATCATGGAGCATATGAAACACTTGACCAAGGTGAAAATATGGTGCGAGTTCACCGCACATGACAGCAGCAACTCAAGACATCTCTCAAAGTCAATTAAGGGGTTCATCCAGAGCAGCACCGATCTGAACAAAGCTCATTCACTCTCACTGAACATCAATGATGAATGGTGTCCAGACTTGTTGGATTTCTCCTTGGAGAAGGATTACTCCTACCACCTTAGCTCACTCAAGCTACAAGGGAACATCATATGCAGTCAGCTGCCTCTGTTTGTTACCATGCTGGGTGGTCTCACTAAGCTGTGCCTGTCATTCCTTGGTGATCATAAGCTGAGTGGTAACACTCTAGATGCCCTGAGCAGAGTGTGCGGCCTGGAGTACCTGAAGCTGATTGCAACTCAATTGGACAAGCTCGTCATCAGGCGAGGCCATGCACTCAGAAGCCTGCGACACCTATGTGCCGTGGTGGAAGTCGTAACCGAGCTGGAAATACAAGAGGGAGCTCTGCCTCGCCTCGAGTTCCTACGGCTGCTATGTAAGGATATAAATGGCTTTAGCCGCACAATCCAGTCCCTGCCACGTCTTAAGGAGGTCGCCCTACCTGATGCAGTGAGTGATGAAACAAAACAGGAGTGGAAAGGAGCGACAAAGAACCACCCCAGACGTCCCAAGCTCTTGCTTGTTGAGACTAAGCCGATGGGAAGTGAGCCTGCTGCGGAAATTATCCCAGCAGAAACAACTACTGATACAACGGTCGAAGAGGTAGATGTGGAGAGGGAACCTGCAGCAGCAGCTACTGATACAATGTTATCAGTGACAACGCTGCCCAATGTGATTTCCACTAAAGAGACTGGTAATTAAGTGATGGCCTCGTATTTCGCTTACTTTGGTTAATTCTTGGGGTGTGTTGAGTTGTATATACTCTCTGTTCATGCATGCATGTGCCATTCCGTTCTTATTTTTGTGCAATACAAGGTGTTACTTCTGGGATGGTTGATGATCACAAACTAATGAAAAGTGAGCCTGCTGCAGAAGCTAGCCCTGCAGCAATAGCTACTGATACGACGGCCGACGAGGTTGATGTCGAAAGTGAGCCTGCGGAGAATTTTGATAGCCCTGTGCCATCACCTACCGATGCCATTTCTACTGGTGAGTCTGGTAATTCAGTGATATGCATCTTCTTGTGTTGCTTAATTGCTAGTACTTTGATCCAATATTGGTGTTGAGTTGTATATACTCCCTCTTCATGCACACATGTGGCAATTTTCATTGTGTAGTACAAGTTGATGGTGGTCAACATGATGATGAACAAGGAAAATATTTTGCTAACACCAAGGATGCAAAATATTTTGCTAACACCAAGGATGCAAAATATTTTGCTAAGAAACATGGTCTGAGCGCTCAGGTGACAGATCGGATGAACAAGGGAAGTTCTAAAGAGGAGATGGAAGGAATGGCGGGTTTAGAGGGTCAGCAGATGGAAGACGCCACCAAGGTAATTTACAGATTCCAGTTGTCTTACATTCTTCCAATGCTTCTCCTAGGGATGTAGCTAGTAGAACTGGGGCGGAGTTAGGGAGTGATATTCTTGAGATATACAAGTCTAGTATGGTTTTTCAACTGTACTGTACTGGTTGTCTTACATTCTTCCAATGCTTCTCTAACATGGTTGTCTTATGTACTGGTTTTCAGAACCAAGGCCTACGAAACAAACAGCGTCTGCGCACGAGGTTGTCATCGCTGGTGGCAATTGGTGTCTTTCGCCAAAGAAGTCGACGGGGGATGTTAGTGCCTTGACTAGGTTAATCTTGCTCAGGACAGGGCTGGAGTATGCTTCGACTATCAGGTTGGCGTTTTAACTAGTTGTAGCTTCTGTTGCTCCGACAGCTCGGCTGTCTTGTTGAGCCTTTGGACATTGTGTTATCAATTTCGGATGCACTAATGGTGGATTCTCAGGTGCTGGGTGTGCCAGACAACTATGGCTATGGGGAGCCGTCTCCTGAAGTTGATGGAGTGGTTCTGATAAGTTTATCCTGAATGCACATGAATTCCTATTAGGTGGATTTCTGCTGTCCTGTGACAGAGTCCACCATGTGTGTTACTGGACATATATTTCGTCCAAATGCATAAATAGAAAGCCCATAAGGACGAAAAGAACCTGAACCTAAGTTCATTTGGAACCTGAACTTGAACCAAAGTTCATTTGGTGGCTTTCTGATAAGTTCATTTGGAACGAGTAACTACCACAGGTCACATGTATGTCCTGTTTGATTCTACATGAAAACTGTCATAAGTTACATGCTTATCATCTTTATTTTGTATGTCCTAAATTATGCATGCTGATTGTGTGTTCTAATCTTAGCGTGAGAAGATAATAGAATGGCACATTTTACTCCGAACACTTCATTTGGTTAATAAATAAATGGGGATTACAAATGGGAATTTTTGGGATGGAGGTGTGTTCCCCTGTTTGACAATGGGACATGGTTTGATTGATTTAATTATGGATGAAAATACAAGCTACAGGATGCTTACTAATAGAAAAAGAAAGTATTCCCCACTCTCCTCCCATATAATCAGGAGACGAGCATCTCTTCTGAAGCTACTGAAGAACACGTGGCGGGCGGAGACGCTGCCTGCCCCTCCTCCCCTCGCGCTAATGGAGGCTGCTGCATTTTTCTCTTGGAGCAAGGGACATTTGCCACCCCGCTCCGTCCACGCCGGCCCGATTCAGAAACCCTAGCTAAGGTAGAGAGTAATAGACAGAGCGCTTACCACCCGATCTCCGCGGCTCCGCCTGAGATAGGACGATGACGCCGGGGTGGAGGGCAGGCTCCCGCGGCCGCGGGCACACCACCTCCGGCAGAACCGCCCGCTTTTCCCGGCCGCTCCATTTGGCGGTCTCTGCTCTGCTTCTCTCTTTCTCCCCTGTATCTGTATCTAGGCTGCTCTCTCTGTTCCCAATCCCGCCGCCCAGCCAGTGTTAGTTTGCACCAATCGCCGCGCAGATCGGACGGCCAGCAAATCCCACTGGGCTTTCACATTTTTTTTCAGGTGACCTTTTTTTTTGCCTGCGATTTTTCCAGGTGACTCTTTTTTGCGTGCTATGCCTCGGTCGGCTGATCTTTTTCCATGCCGCGAGCCGTCAGATCAGCCACATCTAGCGGCCGAATGCTTGTCTCTCCCATTGCAACACAGGTCTTGTTGCGGAATTTTTTTGCAACGGCTATTTTGTTCTAAAAAATGCAATTGAGATTTTGTTGCAATTATTTTTTGCAACTGAGGTTCTGTTGCAGAAAAAGTCCGCAAAAGACATGTTATTGCAAAACATAGACAATCGTAGACCATTGCAACACCACATATGTTTCAGAAGCAAAGCCCTTGTTGCATAAGCGCGTTCGGCAATGGATGGTACGCGGGGCCTCATTTGAACACGTGTCATGCTAGGAAGGTGGCAGACGCGGCCACAACAATCCAGCGGATGATGATAATCGTTTCCTTGGGAGCGGTGCGCCGGCCAAACGATTCGGCCGGTCGCTCGCGAGCCACGCGATGAGCCCCCATCGTATGCCTCGTGCATCACCCTGGCCCACCTTATCTTCTCCCTCTTCCTTCTTCCTCCCGATCCCCTCCTTCTTTCTGTAACACCCACAATGCGGCTATATCTCCCACGTATCGGGGCACGACTTAGAGGCATAGTCGCATGGTAGGCTTGTCGCAAGAGGGTAATCTTTACACATCCCATATACTGAATAAGAAAGGAATAAAGAGTCGGCTTACAATCGCCACTTCACACAATACATGAATAATCCATACATCATCCAAAGTACAATCAAAGGTCCGACTACGGAACCAAAATAAAGAGAGACAACCCCAATGCTAGATCCCCGATCGTCCCAACTGGGCTTCACTACTGATCATCCGGAAAAGAAACATAGTAACGTCCCGAATCCTCGTCGAACTCCCACTTGAGTTCGGTAGCGTCCCCTACACTGGCATCATCGGCACCTGCAACCTGCATATATTTGGAAGTATCCGTGAGTCACGAGGACTCAGCAATCTCACACCCACGAGACCAAGACTATTTAACCTTAAGGGTACGAAAGAGTAGTGAGGTGGAGCTGCAGCAAGCACTAGCATATATGGTGGCTAACATACGCAAAAGAGAGCGAGAAGAGAAGCAACGCAATGGTCGAGAAACTATAAGTGATCAAGAACAAGAAGTGATCCTGAAGCTACTTACGTTCAAGCATAACACGAGACCGTGTTCTCTTCCCGGACTCCGCCGAAAAGATACCATCACGGCTACACACGCGGTTGATTCATTTTAATTAAGTGTCAAGTTCTCTACAACCGGATATTAACAAATTCCCATCTGTCACATAACCACGGGCACGGCTCTCGAAAGTTTATACCCTGCAGGGGTGTCCCAACTTAGCCCATCACAAGCTCTCACGGTCAACGAAGGATATTCCTTCTCCCGAAAAGACCCGATCAGTCTCGGAATCCCGGTTACAAGACATTTCGACAATGGTAAAACAAGACCAGCAAGACCACCCAACTATGCCGACAAATCCTGATAGGAGCTGCACATATCTCGTTCTCAGGGCACACCGAATAAGCTAAGCGTATAGGTACCAACATAACCCAAGTTGCCAAGGGACGGTCCCGCACGGTCTAGTTTGGACCAACACTCAGAGGAGCACTGGCCCGGGGGTTTAAAATAAAGATGACCCTCGGGCTCGCGAAAACCCCAGGGAAAATGCTTAGGTGGCAAATGTTAAAACCAAGGTTGGGCCTTGCTGGAGGAGTTTTATTCAAAGCGAACTTTCAAGGGGTTCCCATAACACCCAACCGTGTAAGAGACGCAAAATCAAGGAACATAACACCGGTATGACGGAAACTAGGGCGGCAAGAGTGGAACAAAACACCAGGCATAAGGTCGAGCCTTTCACCCTTTACCAAGTATATAGATACATTAAAGTAAATAAGATATAATAATGATATCCCAACAAATCCATATTCCAACATGGAACAAAACTTCATCTTCACCTGCAACTAGCAACGCTATAAAAGGGGCTGAGCAAAAGCGTTAATATAGCCAAACAACGGTTTGCTAGGAAAGGTGGTTTAGAGGCTTGACATGGCAATATGGGAGGCATGATAAACAAGTGGTAGGTAGTGCGACATAGCAATAGAGCGAACAACTAGCAAGCAAAGATAGAAGTGATTTCGAGGGTATGGTCATCTTGCCTGCAATGTTCTCAGGGTTATCGAAAGCTGGACCCTCGAAAGCGTACTCAACAGGTTCCTCGTTCACGTACTCGTCTCCCGGCTCTACCCAAAGTAAGAACACAAGCAATGGAACAACAATCAAACACGGTGCAATGCACAAGCAACATGATGCAATACATGGCATGATATGCAAGATATGATATGCAATGCATATGCGTGCTCCGGAAGAGAAAGAATGATCAAGGCATGAACTTGGAAAACCAAGCATGCCGCTGGAAAGATGAGATGATTTTGATTGAAATCGATATAAAGATCACCGGAAACGGATGCACGGTTTGCAAATGGCAAGCACAACAAGAATGATGCTATTCTGTGATTAACAACATAATGCCACTTAGAATGCAATAAGAAACTAAGCTACTGCACTCCAACATAGCAACAAAGCATATGGTAGTCATGTACATGAGATGCTTGACAAAACATGAACACTGAGCTACGGCTAAATCACATTAGAACAGGTTCAAAAAAGCATGGCAAAAGTGTAAAAGATATCAGCATCACAGACTTAGTGAAAATACTAACATGTCAAAAACAACATCAGGAAGCACTATTTAGAGCAAGCAAAAAACATGCTACAGGAACATATCATACAAAGGCATGGCATGATTCTACTAAATGCATAGATCAAAAGTCCCTTACGGATCATGAGCCAAAAAGGCACAAAAGATATGATGGCACCCATGTAAACATAGAAAGTGTTATTAACAGTTTCAGACAGCAGAAAAACAGAGCATGGCATAAACAGAATTATGAAGACAACTTTGCGAGCTCATGCCACTCACCATAAAGCATTGCATGACAAAACAAGCATAGAAAAAGCAAGATGACATGTTCATGAAGCTATCCATGGCAAGAGAAAGTTCATAGGATGCATGGATCACTAGCAACAACCATGGCAAAATTGATTAACATGTTAACATCCTGCCAGGAACATTTTATAGCAAAAGTAGAGTAAGAACAAGACATGCTAGACAACTCCATAAATGCAAACA